GCGCCACGAGCACGGGAACGCGTGGGTCATTTCGCCTGCAGGCCGGCACGACCACCTCTTCGCCCGCCAGCGTCTCTCTTTCTCTCACGCTCTCTCTCTCTCTCTCTCTCCCGTTTTTTTTGTTTGTTTTCTCTCTCTCTCTCTCTTCTCTCCTATGCTCAAGTTCGAAGAGCAAAGCACTACATAAACATAAACTTTCGAAGGTCCGCGCGGGTTTCTTGGATCTGCGCCAGGGCCTCGCCGTTCCGCCGACCCTCAGACGGGGTGAGGAATCAACGAAAGCCGGCAGGCTGATGTATGAGCTTACCCATGGTTCATTTCTAATTCTGCGAAAATTGTTTGATTTTTGGGAGGCCAGGATCCTTTCATTTCTAATCGTTCTATCCTGGGCCTCTTCCTGGCCACTAGGAGGCCAGGAACAAGTAGAAACGAGCACAATTAGAAATGTGCACGCTTAGAAATGAACGACGTGTAACTGTCCGTTTCCGATTTTCTCGTCAAGAGGCGCCTGCCGCAGGTCGGAGTTTGTTTCGGTTTGCTGGGGTGCTGCCGAGCATGTGCAGCTGCCATCACGTTGCTGCGTGCCTGGGGGGTTTTGGGGTGCCTCGCGGTGGCTCATGCGAGGCTTGTTGGGGGCTTAGGGGCCTCTTTGGGCCTCTTGGGAGCGTCTCGGGGCCCTCTGGGGTCTCTTGGGGCCAGGTTGGGGGGTCCTTTGGGACATCTTGGCGGGAACGGCTCCGAAGGTCCCTTTGAGTTTCTCCTCTTGGACCCCTGTAAGGCCCTCTTGGGGCTGGGCGGTCGTGTGGGTGAGCGGGCGAGCGGGCGGGCTCGCGAGGACGAGTCGGGCGGAGTAGTATGCTTTCCGCCCGGTGTGTTGCCCCGTGGCGAGTGGAAAAGAGCAGTTTTAGTTTCGCCCCCAGGCGTTAACCCCAGAACGTCATGAATGCTGCACGCCCTCCCCCCCCGAAGCGTTGGTTTTGCAATCAGGTGCGGGGGTCAGCGGCCGAAATGATTGGCACGTCTTGTTCGCCGTGCTGGCTTGTGTTGGGCGGCGATTTCTCCTCGCGGATATCACCCGCCGGGCTACCCTACACGATCCAGAAATTCCGTGCCTGTTCGTACACGGCTTGTAGTACGAATCCGTACCATACCCTCGAATTGTTTCTCGCAGTGTCGGAGTATTGGATTAATATTAATAGTAGTAGTAGTAGTAGTAGTAGTAGTAGTAGTCTGTTGAGCAGTTAACGGGCTACTATTAAGGTGTATAGTATAATAGTCGTCGATCAAGTGAGTAGTGGGTACTATGCTTTCAGACTCGGTGGCGCTTGGGAGGTGCAGAAGAAGTAGTAGTAATAGTAGTAGTAGTAGTAGTAGTAGTAGTAGTAGTAGTAGTAGTAGTAGTAGTAGTAGTAGTAATAGTAGTAGTAGTAGTAGTAGTAGTAGTAGTAGTAATAGTAGTAGTAGCAGTAGTAGTAGAAATCGCATTAGGATACCGGAGAAAAAAACCCAATCCGATTTTTTTAGGGCTACAGGGCTATAGGGCTATCGGGCTATAGGGCTATAGGGCTATCGGGCTACAGGGCTATAGGGCTATCGGGCTATAGGGCTATAGGGCCATAGGGCCATAGGACTGTGACCTATATGGCCATAGGGCTGTAGAGCTATGGGGCTATAGAGCTATATGGGCTATGGGGCTATAGGGCTATATGGATATAAGGCCATAGGGCTATAGGGATATAAGGCTATAGGGCTACAGGGCTATAGGGCTATACGGCTATATGGCTATAGGGCTATAGGGCTACAGGGCTACTGGGCTATTGGGCTATTGGGCTTTTGGGCACCCCTGGGCACCCGGGCACCCCCGGGCACCCAGGCACCCGGGCACCCGGGCCCGGCCACCGAAAGCGGCCACGTACCTCACCGGCCACCCGGGCACCCGGGCACCGGCGGGCACCCGGGCACCCAGGCACCCGGGCCCGGCCACCGAAATCGGCGACCAACCTCACCTAACCCTTTAATCCGCTAGGACCCCTACAGAGGAAATCGTATTAATACTACTAGTAGTTTTGGCAGTACTAGTAGTAGTATTAGTATTATTATTATGATTATTATTATTATTAGTAGTAGTAGTAGTAGCAATAGGCGTAGTCGTAGAAGTATGAGTAGTTGTAGTAAGAGTCGTAGTTGTAGTCGTCGTAGTAAGAGTGGTCGCCGTAGTGGTAGTAGTGGTAGAAGTAGTAGTAGTAGTAGTATTCGTAGAAGTAAGCGTAGTAGTAGTAGCAGTAGTAGTAGTAGTAGTAGCAGTAGTAGTAGTAGTAGTAGAAGTAGTAGTAGTAGTCGTAGTAGTAGTCGTAGTAGTATTTGTAGTAGTAGTAGTAGCAGTAGTAGTAGTAGTAGTAGTAGTAGTCGTAGTAGTAGTAGTAGTAGTAGTAGTAGTAGTCGTAATAGTAGTAGTAGTAGTAGTAGTAGTAATAATAGTAGTAGTAGTAGTAGTAGTAGTCGTAGAAGTAGTAGTAGTAGTAGTAGTCGTAGTAGTCGTAGTCGTAGTCGTAGTCGTAGTCGTAGTCGTAGTCGTAGTCGTAGTCGTAGTCGTAGTCGTAGTCGTAGTCGTAGTCGTAGTCGTAGTCGTAGTCGTAGTCGTAGTCGTAGTGGTAGTCGTAGTCGTAGTCGTAGTCGTAGTCGTAGTCGTAGTCGTAGTCGTAGTCGTAGTCGTAGTGGAGGAGGAGGGCCAGGAGGACGAGGAGGACGAGAAGGAGTAGGACCAGGAGGAGGAGGAGGAGGAGGAGGAGGAGGAGGAGGAGGAGGAGGAGAAGGATTGTTTTTTCATTGCCTTTCGACTTCCCACCTGGATCTCTCAGGGCTCGGGACACGAGGTCTCAGGAGTACGACTCGAGGGCGCAAAAGTCACTCCTGAAGGCGTCCTGCATTCCAGTTGGACCGAGGTATACGATCGAGGCCGGTTCGGGGAGGGTACCCTGATGCTCTTCGTGCTCGTGGGATGCTCTTGTGCACTCTGCGGAGGGTGCCCTTGGATGTTCTGTGTGTTTTGGCCGGCGGAGGGTCTCGTGCTCTTGAGGGATGTTCTTCTGTCCTAGGTTCGTTTGTAAAGCAGTGCAGGAAACTTGGGGGAGACTTGCGACTGGGACCCCCCGCTCCGCAGCGCTTTCTGCTTCCTTATTCCTGCTGGCCAGGTTCGCGGGGGGAGCCCAGGCCGTAGCGACGAGAGGCCCCCAGGAGGCCCAGGAGGGCGAAATGCGCCCGAGAACGTGGGCCCTCCATCCTTGAATCTCGAACCACCTCCTCGAACCACCTCCATGCCTGACTGATCTTTGGCCCCCCCGTCGCCGCAGCCAGGGGCAACGTGAGGGGGGGATGGGCTCAGGGGGGAATGCATCGACCCCCAATCGCCCATTCTTCGCCGATGGAGGCCAGATAGCCCGCCCCGCACAGGACCATGCGGAATCGCTATCGGGGGGCTGCCGTCGATCTATCGGCAATGCATCGCCGATGTCCCCCCTGAATCTTTCATCTTTGCCTCCCTTCAGGCGTCAGCAGGGTTTCGCTGCCCCCCGCCGTCGCAGCCGCCTGCGCAGAGTACCTGCAGCTGGGGCCCCATGGCCAGTGCGGCATTTTTCGAGGCGAACCGACCGGCGAGGGCCTCTGGGCTCGACGCAGGGCAAAATCTGCCGCTGTGAGACCAGTCCGACGCCAGGATCTCAGGGATTGTCTGCCTGACCCGTCTTTGCTGGGGTTGCTAAGGGGAGAAGTGGATGTTGAGGTGGGTGATGTCTGGCCCAGCCTAGCTTACAAGTGGGTTACAGGTGCCCTAAGTGGTTTAGGATGGTCAGGCAACTCCGCCAAGCGGGCGGAGCCCACTTCGCCCGAGTCGTGAAACCCCCAATCGACCACTCAGGGCACTTGTGATCCACTCATCGAGCCAGACGTATCCCACCTCGTGGCGTTCGCTCCCGAGCCCCCGGTCCCCTCGGCAGGCGCCGCGATCATTTCCGCCGCCGCCGCACGGGCCCGCAACCGTGGCCTCCCCCCTCTTGGTGGCCGCAACGGAAGGCAGAACGAGCCGTGGCGGAGCAAAAACGCTTACGGTCTCAACCCGCACAGTAGGGAGGAGCAGCATGCCAACAACACCCTCGCATCCTTCCCTTTCGGCCCCTGGGCCGCTTTCGCTGGCCGCGCCCTGGTCGCAGAGTGTCGGCATGGCCTTCCGAGGCTCTTGCATCCCTCTCGTGCGTCCTTACTGTGCGGGTTGACTGTATGTCTCGTCGGAGGCCAGGGCGCCGGAGGCCCATAAGAAATACGCAGGCATCCTCCAGTGGATTCTTCTGTGGCCTCAGAGGAGGGTGGCGGTGTACGAACCACCACTGGGAGCCGGCGACTTTCTACACCCCCAGCCTCCCGGGAGACACGCAAGATTAGTCGGAGGGTGTCTGTGTATGTATGTATGAATGTACATATGTACGTAGGTACGTACGTAGGTATGATGTATGTATGTATGTATGTATGTATGTATGTACGTACGTACGTACGTATGTATGTATGTATGCATGTATGGAGGCATGTATGTATGCATGTATGTAGGTATGTTTGTATGCATGAATGCGCGCATGCATATATGTATGCATATCCATGAGTAGGTATATGTATGTATGTGTGTATGCTTGTATGTTTGTAGGTTTGTATGTCTGTATGCATGCATGCATGTATGTATGCATGCATGCATGCATGTATGCATGCCTGTAGGTATGTAGGTCTGCATGTATGTATGTCTGTATGTCTGTATGTCTGTATGCCTGTATGCCTGTATGCATGTATACATATCTGTCTGTCTGTCTGTCTGTCTGTCTGTATGTTGTACGTGTGTATATACGTATGTATGTATGTCTGCATGTATGTATGTATGTATGTATGTATGTATGTATGTATGTATGTATGTATGTATGTAATGCAATGTAATGTAATGTAATGTAATGTAATGTAATGCAGTGCAATGCAATGCAATGCAATGCAATGCAATGTAATGTAATGTAATGTAATGTAATGTAAGGTAATGTAATGTAATGTAATGTAATGTATGTAGGTATGCATGTCTGTATGTATGTATGTATGTATGTATGTATGTATGTATGTATGTATGTATGTATGTGTATGCATGCGTGCATGTATGTATACATATACGTGCGTATGTGTATATATACATATATATGTATATGTATGTGTCTATGTATGTTTGTATGTATGTATGTATGAACTGACACATAGACATACACATTATACAGTATACATGATAAATGTATATATATATATATATATATACACACTCGCGGCGTACAATCTTCGCCCCCCCCCCGCCGCCGCAGGAGGGGAGCCGATCGCCCACGCAGCGCTCCCCAAGCCCCCCCTCGTCCTTGGCGAGGACGCTGTCGGCGCCGCAGGAGCGCCGCCGCCGCAGCCGCCTCCCGTGGCGGCGGCCCCATGGCCGGGCGGCCAGGCCTCGGCCCTCGTCCTGCTTCCTGCTTCATCCTGGATCCTCCTGGATCCTCCTCGGTCCTCCTCGATCCTCCTCGATCCTCCTCGATCCTCCTCGATCCTCCTCGATCCTCCGCGATCCTCCTCGATCCTCCTCGATCCTCCAACTCTTCCTCCTCCTCCTCCTCCTCGGCCGTGGTGGAGAAGCCACAACACGTTGTTCTTGACGCTTTGTGTATCCCCACCAGCCCATTCAGAAGCAAATCGCCAGGCGAGTTGTCTTGATGAGGGAAGTGTAGAAGCATACAGTGTAACAACCGCCTTGGAAGTGTTTTCTCTTATGTCTCCTGGAGGCCATCTTGGGTCTCTCTTGGGGTCCTCGCGGAGCCACTTGGGGCACTCTTGGGGCACTCTTGGGGCTCTTTTGGGGGGTCTGGGGGTCCTCTTCGGGCTCTTTGGGGGTTCTGGGAGGCCTCTTGAGGCAATTTTGGGTTCACTGTTCACAAGGAGGGGGGACAGGAAATTCAGGCTCCCCCATCGGAGGCTCAAACATTGCGCCATGGGGCCGTCTTGGGGCGCTCTTGAGGCGCTCTTGGGCGCTTTTGGGGCCGTCTTGGAGCCCTCTTGGGCTCCTCTTGGAGCTCTCTTGTGCCACCTTGGGGCCATCTTGAGGCCTCCGAGGCCCATCGGAAGCGAACAGGCGAGACAGCACACATCAACAATCTTCCGTAAGTTTTGGATCCATTTTTGCCTCTTGGGGGGTCCTTGGAGGGCTCGGAGGGCACTTGAAGCAGTCTTGGGTCCGCCCTTATGCCTCTTGGATGTGCGTCGGAGGCTACCTTGAGCCATCTTGAGTTACCTGGAGCCATCTTAGAGGCCATCTTGGGGTCACTAAGGCCCTCCTGGAGCCATCTTGGGTGACCTTGGGGGCTCTAGCGCCTCGCGCCCCCCCCCCCCTCCCTTCCCCTCCCAGGCCCAGGGGAGGGGGTATGGGGGAAGGGTCAAGACACCCACCCGCCCGCATGCCGGCTTGCTCACTTCCGCCCGCCCTCCCTACACATAAGTAACACCCGAGCCTAAGTATGTTCAGCGGTCGTCTTTGGATGGGCAGCTACTGGGAACCGAAGCCGCCCCAGGTGCGCGAGGTTTGGGCGAGATGCGCCACGCGTGCCAGGGGCGCTACGCGCGCCAGGCACCCCTGCGGCCCGAGCGTGCCAGGCACGCCTGGTGCGCCAGATGCGCCACGTGCTCCACGTGCGCCAGGTGTGCAGAACACTCCAGCCGCGCCAGGTGCGCCGCGTTCGGGGCACGTGCAGAGTGCGTCAGGTGCGCCTGCGCACGTGACAGCACACATCGGGAAACATGTCGCCCCCCGCCATCCTTGTCGAAAACCGATGCCCATCATTGTGTCTGCTGGGCCTGCGCACAGCAGACCACGCGCCACCACCCCCGCCGTCCCTGTCAGAAACCACTTAGCAGTGATCGCGGGATGGCCGCGCATGATCCAGATTTAGCCGCGAGGTGCATGCTGTATTGTTCTGTTGTCAGGGATGGTAGCCCTGCGCGCAGCAGGGAATATGCTGACACCCCCGCCGTCCTTGCCCACAAATCAAAACGAAGTGCTCGCGGGCCTCACGAGCATGACTCAAGATTCTGCCCCAAAGTGTACTTTGCATTGGTTTTTGACGGATGGGGGGTCGCATCGTGCTTGCCGCGTGCTCCAATTGTGTAGGCAGAGTACGGTTTGCATGGTTTTTTGGCAGGGATGGTGGGGGGCGGGTGGGCATGGTGTCTGCATTGTGCCTGGTTAGCCCCTGGTCGCCTGGGGGAGGGGGTGTCTGTTAATAAGGAACAGTGAACAGGACACCCTCCTAGATAGCAGGCCGTCTAGCTCACTCCCACCCGCCCTCCCAACACATACGTAGCACACGAGCCTCAGCATGTTCAGCGGTCGACTTTGGATGGACATCTATTGGGAAACAAAACCGACCCAATGTACGCGACGCTGCGGCGAGGTGCGCCACGCGTGCCACACAGGCACCCCTGGGGCCCGAGTGTGCCAGGCACGCCTGGTGCGCCAGATGCGCCACGTGCTCCACGTGCGCCGGGTGTGCCGCATATTCCAGCAGGGCCAGGTGCGCCTGCGCACGTGACAGCACACATCGGGAAACATGTCGCCCACCGCTATCTTTGTCGACAACCAATGCACATCATTGTGTTTTGTGGGCCTGCGCGCAGCAAGCCATACGCCAGCACTCCCGCCGTATCGCGGGGTGGCCGCGCATGATCCAGATTTAGCCGCGAGGTGCATTTTGTATTGTTTATTGATAGGGATGGTGGCCCTTCGCGCAGCAGGAAAAATGCTGACACCCCCGCCGTCCCTGGCAAAAACAATACAAGGTGCTGGCCTCACGAGCATGACTCAAGATTCTGCCCCAAAGTTTATTTTGTATTGTTCTTGGTAGGGATGGTGGAGGGGGGGGGCGCATGGGGTTGGTTGCGCGTGCTCCGAATTTGGAGATCGAGTGTGTTTTGTTTTGCTTTGTGACGGGGATGGTTGTGTGTGTGTGTGATCATAGGGTAGGTATTGCTCCTGGTTGGCTGCGGGTCGCCTGGGGGAGGAAGTGTATATCAACAGGGGGCAGTGATAAACACCCTCCCCCGAGCAGGGGAAGGAGGGATTTTGGGCAGAGAGAAGACAAAACTCGTTAAACCACCTACGCTCAGAGGGCTGCTGGGACTATTTGAGCTCCTGCTTTAACGCCCTCCCAGCCTACAACTCCTCCTCCTCCTCCTCCTCCTCCTCCTCCTCCTCCTCCTCCTCTTCCATCTCCTCCTCCTCCTCCTCCTCCTCCTCCTCCTCCTCCTTCAACGCCCTCCTCCTCCTCCTCCTCCTCCTCCAACGCCCTCCTCCTTCAACGCCCTCCTTCAACACGGCCTCCTCCTTCAACGCCCTCCAACACGGCCGAAGTCCTCTCCCCTCCTTCCCTCATATCTAGTCATTTCTCGGCGCTCCGGCGCCACCACCAGGCTCTTGTAGGGCCGCCCCCCAGGACGATTGGCCAGCGCCTCGCCTCGCCTCGCCTCGCCTCCGCCTCTGCCTCTGCCTCCTCCCTCTCCCTCCCTCCTCCTCCCTCCTCCTCCTCCTCCTCCTCCTCCTCCTCCTCCTCCTCCTCCTCCTCCTCCTCCTCCTCCTCCTCCTCCTCCTCCTCCTCCTCCTCCCCCTCCCCCTCCCCCTCCCCTACAACACTTTCCGCTCCTCCTCTGTCCGTTGTCGTGGCCGCAGTCCTCGTCCCGCCCTCCCCGGGGTTGCGGGCGCTGCAGCTGTTCTTCCTCTCGCCGGGCCTCCTCGCCCCGCCTCGGTGCCCCCCAGGACCCTCGCGGATCGAGCCAGCTCGAGAGAGAGAGCGATGCCGAAGAGAGAGCGGGTCGAGGGCCCTACAGTGGAGGCCCATGCCAAGAGACACCCTGCTTGCCTCCAGGGTGCCCTGGGTTTCTTGGGGCGTCCTGGGGTCTCGGGGCTGGGTTTCTTGTGGAAGGTTTCCTGTGGTCGAGCTCCTACTGTACCCTCGCCTCGTTTCCCCCCCCTTTCCGCCCGAGCCCAGATCGAATCCGCAGCCGATCTGGGCGCGGGAGCTGCCCGCGCCGCCGCGCGGGCCGCGGCGGGCCCCGCCCCGGCGGCGCCCCTGCCTTCGGGCCGGATGCGCCGGCTCGGGGGCGTGGCCGCCCTCGTCTCGGGGGCTGCTGGAAGTGCTCCTGGCCCATGGTGTCGGAGGAGGAGGAGGCACGCGCACCGCTGCAAACGTCGCCCGCTTTTTCCCTCTGTTCGGGGCCTCCCGGGAGGCCCTCATCGCCACCGCCGCTGGATTCGCGCCGGAGTCCTGGTGAGAGCGCGCCCATGAGGGAGGTCTGCGGAGCAGACGTATCGGTGCCTTTCGGATTCCCCAGGGTGCCCCCAGGACGTCCAATGAGGCCCCCTCCTCCTGCTCCTCCTCCTCCTCCTCCTCCTCCTCCTCCTCCTCGTCCCAGCTGTTGAGCGGGTCGGAGTCGACCTCGTCCGAGGCCCTGCGCTGTTTGGATTCTCCTCTCGCGCCCAAGCTGAAGGAGGAACCGCGAGGAGGCTGATTCCTCGGACCAAGATCAGCTTGCTTGTCTTTGTTTTGATGCAAACATAATGAGATGACTTCAGTGTTCGGCGTGGTCCTCCTCCTCCTCCTCCTCCTCCTCCTCCTCCTCCTCCTCCTCCTAGGCCCAGAGGGCCCCACGGGGCTCCTGAGTGGAGCGACCAGCTGGGGGATACCTTGGGGCCAGAGGCACCTTCCGCAGCCCCCGAGCCGTCGCCTGCTGCGGGGGGCCGGCGGCGGGCTGGCGGGGCGCGGCTGAGGCTCGGCGCTGGGGAGCAACAAATCGGCGCCGCAGAGACAGCCCAGGGCGCAGACCAACCTCGCATCGTGAAACAGATCGCGACGGAGGGATCTTGTTCGCTAAAACCACAGTCCACCCCGCACGGTGAGGACGGCCAGCCCTCCCAAGGCCACCCTGGCACCCTTGCCTCCTCGGCCCATCCTTGGCCGCTGTCGTCGCCCGCGCCCCGCTCGAAGAGCTTCGAGATGGGCGTCCAAGGCCCTTGCCTCCTTCTCGCGCATCCTCTTGGTACGGGCCGACTGCGGCGGGCGCAAAAAGGGGGGCCCGGCCGACGGAAGCCGCTGGCGGGCGGCGGAAGGAGTAAAAGCTGTGCGCACCAAGAGATGGCAACTTCTCAGGGTTCAGGTTTTCCGCATTTGGCCCTACATCCCAACCCGAGCGACGCAAAGAAAAACGGGGTCTTCTGCGCCGACACTGGTGCGAAGGCTGCTCGCGTAAGGTCGCGCGTGAGCGCCCTTGTCCAGCGTAGCGCACCGCGCTGGCGACCCGCGCAAGCCACCGCGTAGGGTCGCTATGCCATCTCGCGCAATACCCGTTTTTGATTGTCGCTGGCCTGACGATGGGGGAGAAGCTGGCCAGCCGTACGGCCAATGGCATGCTAGTGGGGATGGGGATCCCCTGAGATCCGGCGTCGCAACAAAATGCTACATCGCAAAACGACTCGACCAGAGCCCTTGACCAAACCTTTCTGTGACATTTTTCTAGCTGGATCGATTCGTGAGGATCCCTCGGCCCAGCATACGGCAAGTTCGGAAATTGTGGAACATCTGACGCCAGGATGGCAGGGGATGGGGATCGGTCAAGCTCTTGGCATCGCTCGGACTTGTGCTTTTTCTGTCGGCGAGAATCATCGAGGAGCATCTTGGATCATCTTGCGAAAAAGAAGCGCACGAAACCGAACAATGCACGGGGAATGGACGTCCATGCGATGGCGAGAGCGATGAGGCCGGCGCGGAGCTGTTCCGCGCGTCCGCGCGCTGCCCGCTGCGCGCGGCCGCGGCGCCGTCGTCGGCGAGCTGCCAGGACGAGCTCGGCGGCTGCGCTGCGCTGGGCGGCCGCCTCTTCGACGGCGCTGGGCGGTGCATTCGAAGAGGGAAAGACCGCACAAGCACAACTTTCGGAGCTCCGCGCGGATTCCTTGGATGAGCATAAACTTTCGGACCGTCTGCCCATCCCCACCATTAAAGGGGGATGCGAAGTCCCTGCAGACCGGACTTGGTGGGCATGACAACATAGCCGGCAAACAGAAAAAGAGGAGTCATAGCTTCATGAGTAAGTTTTTACAGCCCTTGGGCCATACCGCGAGTTATGCCCCCCCTCCCCCCGATGACGTAACGCTCCCCCCTGTGCGCCTCGGGCACTGCCATTGTGATGCTCGCAGGCTACTGTGGTACTTGCAGGCTGCTTCTCAAAGTTCGTTGTCGTGTCCGAGGGCCTCGCAGGGCCTGCTGACGCTTCAAGAGGCCTCCAGAGATCTCCTGAGACCTCTGGAGACCTCTGTAGACCTTCAGAGGCGGCCGTCGCTGTCGTCGTCGTCGTCGTCGTCGTCGTCGTCGTCGTCCTTGTCCTCGTCTTCGTCGTCTTCGTCCTCTTCCTCGTCCTTCTCGTCCTCGTCCTCGTCGTCGTCGTCTTCGTCGTCATCGTTCCCGTCTCTGTCCCCGTCGTCGTCGTCGTCGTCGTCGTCGTCGTCGTCGTCGTCGTCGTCGTTGTATCTTCGTCGTCGTCATCGTCGTCGTCGTCGTCGTCGTCCCCGTCCCCATCCCCGTTCTCGTCGTCGTCGTTGTTGTTATCTTCGTCGTCGTCGTCGTTGTCGTCGTCGTTGATGTTGTTGTCGTTGTCGTCGTCGTCGTCGTCGCCGTCGTCGTCGCCGTTGCCGTCGTCGTTATCGTCGTTACCGCCGTCGTGGTCGTCGCTTTAGTCGTCGTCATCGTCGTCCTCGTCCTCGTCGTCCTCGTCGTCATCGTCGTCCTCGTTCCTGTCGTCGTCGTCCTCGTCCTCCTCGTCTTCGGGCGGTCGTCGTTTTCGTCCTCGTCCTCGTCGTCGTCGTCGTCGTCGTCGTCGTCGTCGTCGTCGTCGTCACCGCCGAGGGCCTCGAAGGGCCTCCAGACGCCTCCAGAGGTCTCCGGAGACCTCCTTAGGCATCCGGAGACCTCCAGAGACCTTCAGAGGCGGCCGTCTTCGTCCTCGTCCTCGTCCTCGTCCTCGTCGTCGTCGTCGCCGTCGTCTTCGTCGTCGTCGTCGTCCTCGTCCTCGTTCTCGTCCTCGTCCTCGTTCTCGTCCTCGTCTTCGTCCTCGTCCTCCTCGTCGTCCCCGTCCTCGCCTTCGTCCCCGTCCTCGTTCTCGTCCTCGTCCTCGTCGTCGTCGTCGTCGTCATTATCTTCGTTGTGGCGCTCGGGCGCCCTTGTCATCCAGCAAACACCAGCACATAATAATGCTCGAAGAAGGGTGTGGGGGAAAAACGCGCTGCCGTGCTGCATGTTTTCATTGTGAATTGCACAGGCGATGTGGTGCACGCGGCTGCGGTGGTGCATGCTGCGCTGCGCACTGTGGTGTTTGCTGTGGTGCGTACCTGCGCCGTAGTGCCGGCGGGAGCCACACGGCGGGGGGGGATACGTTATGCCTCTCCCCCCCCGCCCGCCCCTACAGAACGCCCGTTATGGCCTCGAATCCAAAAACGCGCTCCATCGCTGGCATTCCAGGCTGCTGCATTGACGGATCCAACGTCCCTTGCTTTCTCATTGACTTCGTTCCATGCGTAGCATGCTCTCAGCCCCTGGCGGCGCCTCCAGCGCCGCCCGTGGCGCGCTCCGCGCTTCCAGGGGAGGAGGGCCCAGCGCCGACCCGAGACATCCGCGCGGACCTCCGACCGTTTATGCTTGGGCCGCTTTCTCTTCCTCGGCACGTGTCGCCGCTGGACGTCATGAGCCGACAACCAGCACCCGTCCCTCTGCGACCCCTCGAGTTCTCGGGGTGGGAAGTTCCGCTGGTGCGGCGTGTGTGTGTGTGTGTGTGTGTGTGTGTGTGGTCGGATGGGGGACCCCCCGCTCGCACGGGAGCCCCCCTTGGGGTCCGACAGCCCACGCCCATACCTATCGTGCCTTTCTCTCCGTGCCCTTCCCCTTTCCTGGGGAGGCCAAGAGGTACCGATACCGCTGCTCCCCGGACCTCTCCCGGGGTGCGTCCTGACCGGGATTTCGAGGCGAATCCAGCGGTGGCGACGAGGGCCTCCCAGGAGGCCCCCCAAGAGGGGAAGCGGGCGAAGGGCAGAGGTGTGAGTGCCCTTTCCTCCTCCGAAGTCCTCCTCCCCCTGCAGGCCTGCGTGCGTGTCCTCCCTTCAGGACGAGCTGTGCCTGGCCTCGTGCGGCCTCTGCGGCGAGCTCCTGGAGCACCTCGCCTGCCGCTCGCCGGCCTCCCACGGCGGCGCGGGCGGCGGGCCGCGCGGCAGAAGGCCCAGACCTCCGACGATGTGTGGCTTTTGTTGCAAGCGCGGCGCTCTTCCCTCCATGTCGGCCTCCCCTGCGATACCACCAGGAGGAGGAGGAGGAGGAGGAGGAGGAGGAGGAGGAGGAGGAGGAGGAGGAGGAGGAGGAGGAGGAGGAGGAGGAGGAGGAGGAGGAGGAGGAGGAGGAGGAGGATCGGCCTTCCCTTGCGCCCAGCTGCACGCCGACCTGCGGGATGCCGTTGGAGCGTCCACCGCGTAGCAGCACCAGCACCGCCGTGTATACCTACCCGGAGATCCTGGCGTCGCATTTTTCTCACAGGACGGCTCTGCCTTGCGTCGGGCCCCCCTGGGACCCCCACGGATCGATCCGGCTGGAAAAATGCAGCACAAAAGTGGGGGCCATGGTTCCGGTCGAGTTTTCTACGATGCCAGTTCTCTTTCGTGATGTTGGATCGTAGGGCTTTACCTTCGCTTCGACCTCGTGGCCATCAAGAACGGATCCAGGACGCAAAAGCACCTGGTGGGCGAAGCACCAATTCGTACCCGTGGCCTCCTGGCCCAGGTACCCGGGCTGGGACCCCGCGGATGCGGCGGGTTTTTTCGCGGATGCCCCGCGCCGAACGTATCCGTGCGATCCCGCGTGCCCGCGGGATCGCGCCCCGGAGTCCAGACCGTGAGGGCGGGGATACGGATGCCTTCGCCGCTCGTGGCGACTCTCAGGGAAGGGGTCGGGAGCTCTGGGGCCGATCGAACTCTGCCGATGTAGGAAATCTCGAGGTTGAGAGTAGCTACAGAGCTCTGGATCACACCAGTGGGCTCAGCAGCCTCGGGGACATCGTTCTGCAGCCTCGAGAAGCCTGAGATTGGTCTCCTGCTCGCGCGACCGCCAAAGCACTAATCTCGCTCTGGAACCGCTTTGGCCTGATAGCGGTATTGGCGGACTGAGCCGTGTCGGAGGATGTCTGGGGCTGCGGCGTGGGCGCGCGGGGGGCTGCTGCGGCCGCCCTGGAGAGGCCAGGCGGCCTGCGCGAGCTCTTCGAGGGGATGGCCGCGCGCCACAACCAGACTCGGCAGCGCGTAAGGGTGATCTTTCGCCGGAGTGACCCTGGGCGTGGCATCGCTCGGATGTGTGCAGTCCTCGGGGCGTGGGCCACCGAGGAGCATCTTGGATCACCTCGCGAAAGCATGCACGCACGGAGTCGAAGAACGTACGGGGAATGGGCGTCCGAGCGATGGCGAGTCGGTGCGGGCACGCTGGGGCCCTCCGGCCGAGCAGTGCGGCGTGACGGCAGCGGCCCTGCGCGGTCGAGGGGCCACGGCCGTGCCCGCGGAGGGTGCTCCGCAGCGGTGGCTCGCTCGCTCGCCCCCCTCGCGCGCCTGCAGCCGCGCACCAGAGGTCACTCTGTTCGGCAGCAAGCCCTGGGAGCCCGGTGTGCCCTCTGATTCAAGTCCGTTTCTGGCGTCGATTAGCGTTCGGGAGCTGATGGCGTGGCGCCGATTCAGCGTCGGCCAGCGTCGATTAGAGAGTCGATTCAGCGCCGACTGGCGTCGACCGAGCGTCGGTTCGCGGGAGCCGACAAGATGGTATGGGAGGCTCCCACGAGCTGCCACCGAAACCCTGGCCTGGGGTCTCCCTTGCGTGTGGCCGGCGGACGCTGACGTCGCAGAGGCCGCTGCTGCTGGAGCTGGAGGGCTTCCTGGACGAGGCGCAGGCGGCGGCGCTGGTGGAGCTGGCCGACCGCACGGTGCGGCCAGAGTGGGAGGACGACGGGCTGCCGCCGGAGGTGCGCAACGTCTCGAAGATGGACTGCGAGGAGGCGTCCTGCAAGCTCAACGCCGTGGTCCTGGCCATGTACAGGAGTCGCAGGAGAGCAAAGAGGCACGGGCATGGTTCTTGGCGCTGCGCGCGTCCCCACCAGCCCTCCTTCGCAGGTGGCACAGCCTGCCCCTTCCGGCCCGGCGTCCGACTGGATTCGTGCGCCTGCGAGCCCGAAAGTATCCCCACCAGCCCATCGCAGAACAGTCAACGGGCGAGTTGCCCTGATCAGGGATGTGTAGCAGCATGCGGCCCAGCAGTGAACCGACTCCGTCTTGGCCAGCGTGGAAGGCCTTTGTCGCGTTCTTGCAACGCTCTTGGGGGTCTCCTGTGCCCCTCTTGAGACCGTCTTGGGGGTCTCTTGGGCCTCTTTTGGGAGAGTTGGGGGCCGTCGTGGGGCCATCTTGGAAGCTATCGGTCAAAGGGGGGGGGTCCTACGTGCCCGCCCCCCCTCCGTCGGAGCCCTCAAGATAGCTTCTTGGGGCCCTCTGGGGGCGGTCTGGGGCGCTGTTTTGGCCACCGTGGGCCCCTCCTAGCGCCCTCTTGGGGCCTTTTGGGGCCCCCTTGGGGCTGTCTAGGTGTCTCAAGATCCCATCAGAAGCGATCTGGCGAGACAGTACAAATCATTGATTTTCCTTAGGTTTTGGAATGATTTTGGCCTCCGGGGGGCCTCCTCCTTGGGAGGATCGGAGGGCACTTGGAGCCGTCCTGGGGCGTTCTTGAAGGCTCTTGGAGGCATGTTGGAAGCTATCTCGAACCATAGTGGGTTATTTCGAGCGATCGTGGAGGCCATCTTGGGCTCTCTGGGGCCCTCTTGAAGTCATCTTCGGCCATTTTGGACGCTCCACCCCCTCGCGGAACGACCCCTGCAGACCCAGGGGGAGGGGGTAGGAGAAGGGGGAACCCCTCACTGAAGGTGAAGGGGAGTTACGAGCTCGTTAGACCAATTACTCCCAGAAGCCTGGTGGGATTTCTCGGAGCTCCGCGTGGATTTCTTGGATCTGCGCTGTGCCCCCCCCCCTGGCGGCGCCTCCGGCGCCGCCCTTTGCGCGCTGCGCGTGCCACGGAGGGGGTTCCAGCGCATATCCATGGCATCCGCGCGGACCTCGGACTATTTATGGTTATGCGGTTATTTCGGAAGGCCAAGTCGTCCTGCCTGATTCTAGAAGGCCGTATTTGGGGCCTATGCCAACTACCGTTCTCACGTTCTGGCCACAAGCCTCCATGGACGCACTGGGTGTCGTTACGTATGCAGACACATTGGTGGTGGATAAGCCTGCAGATAACGCGGCCGTTGCGATCGACGCGGTGCAAGATCGGAGCAAGGGCAGATTTGTCTACGGGACGTTCTTGTTCTAGAGTGGGTCCCACATGATACCCCAAAGTTTTTCTCTTCCAAGGAAGGTGGAGGCCCTCGTGCAGCTGCCGGCGTCCAACTTCGAGTCTCTGGAGCTGCTGCGCTACGAGCCCGGGAACCACTACGAGGTTCACCACCCACCAAGCCACCCCAACCCAACTCGAAGGCTCCAATTTGCCCTCCATCCCCCACTGGGACCTCGGGGAACATGGAAAAGCCGCACGTGGAACCCGTACCCCCAGCCCGAAGCTTGGGTCTTCGGGTTAGGCTGGGGTGGTCTGGTAGGCGGTCGGAGGTCCACATGGACAACGGCCCAGACGACAGCGCGCACCCCGCTGGCCCTCGAGGAAGGAAAAAACCAGCACCAGCCTGGGCGTTCGGCGCTAAGCGCGGATCTCTCGGATGGGCGCTGGGCTCCCCTCGTCGCGGCGCCTCTGGCGCCGCCCCTGGCGCGCTCCGCGCGCCAGGGAGGGGGCTCCATCGGTGGCCACATGCGAACCCTGCCCCCCCACCGCCCACGATTTCTAAGGGGGTGTGGGGGGGGTCACTTCGTTCGGGACCCCCCGAGCGGAGTGAACCCCCCCGCCCCCGCCCCTTCGAAATCGTGGGGTGTATGGGGGGGTAGGGCTCGCATGTGGCCACCTATCGCCAGCGCCGACCTGGGAGCCCCACTTCGGGTCAGCACCTGAGAGCTCCACTCCTGGCCAGCAGCGAGGGCGAGCGCACAATGCGTTCGTGCAGCTGGCGGGCCCCAGGGGCCGGGCGGCGGCGCGGGAGGCGCCGCAAGGGGGGCCCGGCGCCGATCCAGGGACTCCGCGCGGGCCTCCCAAAGTGTCCGTGCATGCTGTTTTTTGCTCCTCGAGGCCCCAGGCTGTTGACCGCGTTCGTTTACCTGACCGACGCGCCCGCTGGCGCGGGCGGTGCCACCATTCGGGGGCTGCTGGAGGCGGCCCCGGCCCAGGGTGTCCCCAGCAGTTCGCTCCATGCTGGGGCCCCTTGGGGGCCCTATTGGGGCCTCGTGAGGGGTGCTCTGGAGGACGCCACCTGCGCCTCCCTGGGGGAGCTGGGGTCACCGTGGGCCAAGACCACTTGCAGCAGCACCCGACGCCATCTTCCCTCGGGCCAAGCCCCGCGAGCTGCGGGTGGTGCCCCGGCGTGGCAAGCTGGTCATCTGGGCGAACATGGCGGACCGGGCGCCGTGGCGCGAGGACTCCTCGGCGGAGCACGTGGCCGAGCGAGTGCTCGCGGGGGTGAAGTACGGCTTCAATCCCGGCGGCGCGCACGAGGGCCTGGCGCGAGGAGAATCCAGGTCCCAGGCCTCCCAAGTGGGGTCCGAGTCGATGGGGTCGGAGGATCGCGCCGCATCGCCGATGCATCGGCGATGCGGCTCGGTGTGGAGGCCGATCTTCTCCACGCCAACGCGGGCCGATGCACCGCCGACGTTGCCGAAGCATCGCCGAGGCATCGGTGATGCATCGACGATGCGGCGCGGTCCTCGTCTACTCCGACCCCATCTGGGACACCCCTCGAGGTGGCCTTCAATGGGGGTCACGTTCTTGTCAAGAAGCACCCCGCCTTCTCGACAGCTTGTTTTTTTGGGGTCCGGCGATCACCCGGGGTAGCGTGCCCGCCCGCCCCCTCCCCTCCTCTGGAAAACCTGACCCTGTCGGTCGCGCAGTCCCGAAGGGGGTACGCAGCGCTGGTGCGTGCGGGCATACGTGGGGCTGCCCAAAGCGAGAAGGTGAGGTTATCGGCCTGCACCCCCCCCCCGCGCAGGTCCGAAAGGGGTACGCCGTGCTGGTGCGCGCAGGCATACGCGGAGCTGCCCAAAGCGAGAAGACCAGGTTATCGGCCGGATAACTTGGGTTATCGCCGAAACAAGCAGCGATCTGTGAGAAGGCCCCCCCCCGCTCGCGCCACCCTGATGTGCGCCCCGCCGACGATCTCTGGATCCACCCGCGCAACTACCGGCTGCCGAACATGGCCCAGCACTGCCTCTGAGATCGGGGGCGGCAAAGAGGGGGGTGATGACTAGGGGGGGGGGTGGATCTCATGGCGCGGGCCATGATACTTCCCGAGATTTCATGGCGCCTCTTCTCATTTCATTACGTTCCTGGCCCCCCCCCTGGGCCGCGCACATGCCGCCGGCCATGATTTGCGCCCGTCTCCTTGGACGCCCCCCTCTTGGCCGCCCCCGATGAGAGGCTCCCCCCCGCAGGGCCCCCGATCGAGGCGCGCGGCAGCGGGGGCGGCCCGCGCCCTGTCCCCGCCCTGCGGCCGCGCGCGCGTGGCTCCGTCTCCTCCGCCTCCGACCGCCCCCTCCCTCTCCGCTCCCCGGCTCCCTGCGGTCGGGCCGCTGAAGAAGGGCCCCTTGTCGTTGGGGAGGCGCTCGCTGCTCCTTCATTGCTTTACACTTTGCCTTAGGTTCTCCCTACGTTCTCCAAGTGGAGTCGAGGGTTCGACTATGGAAGCAGTGGGCCTCGTTCCTTCTATGTGGGGTTCCTTCTGGCAGCGTGTCGACTGTGCCCCGCCACCCTCTCGCCGTGAAGCAGCAGGCGAAGGGTCTCTGTCCAGTCTCGGCCTCCGATGGCCCAGCGGGCCCAGGAGCCGTCAACCAAAATAATATTCAGGAGGGAAAGAAACACACAGACACAATGAATCGTCGACTCCCAGGAAAAGATGGGAAAATATGGGAAGTGGGGGGGAAGACAGAAACCCAGAAAATATGGGAAATATGGAGATTCTTGTTATTTGCGTGTATTTATTTGCGTGTTTGTGGGCCCCTTCAAATACTCCGGATGAAAAGCCGGTCCCTGGGAAGGGGTCCAGACCTGGGAACACATCGAGATGGAGGATGTCTGGGTCCCCCCCTTCTGCGTCCGTGCGCCCGCCCTTTCCCTCGTCCCCTTGCCGCCCGCTTCCCGCTTCACCCCTGTCCTCTCACATGTCTCCTCGCACGGGGCAGGTCCAGCGGATCGGCTCCTCGTCTCCACAGTCCTGGCGTGGACATCCTTCCGTCCCCTCCTTCAGTTGCTATGCGGTTGCAATCGCTTCCTGGTTTCGCTTCACTGGCCATGCCGACACCCAGGACGAGGACGACGTGGACTTGAATCAGGTCTTCGACATCTTGCCCATCTTCGGCAAGGACGGTGGTCTTGCCCTTCCTCTCATCTTACCTATTGACCCTTCGCGTGCCCCCACCAGCCCATCCAGAAACGATGCCCAGACGAGTTGCATTGATCAGAGAAGTGTGGGAGCATGCAGTGGAACAAAGATGGGGTGCAGCCGTCGAACTGAAGATCGGATCAGCCTGAGCAGGACCAGCAGGTCTTTCGACATGGGAGCCTCTTGGCATCTTGGGGCTATCGTGGAGCTCTCTTGGGGCCATTTTTGGGTCTCTCATGGGCTCTTTTCAGGCCCTCTTGGGGTGGTGTCCCTCTTGGGCCCTCTTGGTGGCCATTGATCAGAGGCTGGGA